ATTCCCAATCCCATTCCTGACCTCACTCTCAATCCCATTCCCAATCTTGCTCCTAATCCGGTTCTCCATTCCCACTCCCAATCCCATTCCTGATTCTGATCCCGATCCCATTCCTGACCTCACTCTCAATCCCCTTCCCACTCCTGATCCCGTTCCCGATCCCATTCCCGACCCCACTCTCAATCTTGTTCCTGATCTTGATCTCATTCCCAATCCTGTTCCTGATCTCACTCTGAATCCCATTCCCAGTCCCATTCCTGTTCCCATTCCCGATCTGACACCCGATCCCGTTCCCAGTCCCATTCCCGATCCCGATCCCATTTCTGACACCCAATCCCATTCCCAGTCCCATTCCCGATCCCGATCTGACACCCAATCCCATTCCCAGTCCCATTCCCGATCCCGATCTGACACCCAATCCCGTTCCCAGTCCCATTCCCGTTCCGGATCCCATTCCCAATCTGACACCCAATCCCGTTCCCATTCCCAATCCCATTCCCGATCTGACACCCAATCCCATTTCCAGTCCCATTCCCATTCCTGATCTGACACCCAATCCCATTCTCAGTCCCATTCCCATTCCAAATCCCATTCCTGATCTGACACCCAATCCCATTCCCAGTCCCATTCCCATTCCTAATCTGACACCCATTCCCGTTCCCATTCCCAGTCTCATTCCCGTTCCCATTCCTGATTTGACACCCAATCCCATTCCCAATCCCATTCCCGTTCCCATTCCCAATCTGACACCCAATCCCGTTCCCATTCCCGTTCCTGATCCCATTCCTGATCTGCCACCCAATCCCATTCCCAGTCCCATTCCGAATCCCATTCCCGATCTGACACCCAATCCCATTCCCAGTCCCATTCCCGATCCCGATCTGACATCCAATCCCGTTCCCAGCCCCATTCCCATTCCTGATCCCATTCCCAATTCTATTCCTGATCTCAGTCCCATTCTGATCTGACACCCAATCCCATTCCCAGTCCCATTCCCATTCCTGATCCCATTCCCAATTCCATTCCTGATATCACTCTGGATCCCAATCCTGATCCCATTCCCAATCTGATATCCAATCCCATTCCCAGTATCATTCCCGATCCCATTCCCGATCTGACACCCCATCCCATTCCCAGTCCCATTCCCGATCCCATTCCCGATCCGACACCCAATCCCATTCCCGATCCCATTCCCGATCTGACACCCAATCCCGTTCCCATTCCCATTCCCGATCTGCCACCCAATCCCATTCCCAATCCCGTTCCCAGTCCCATTCCCGATCCCGATCCCACTCCCACGCCGGGGCCTGGCCCCATTCCCGCTGTCCCAGCGGGATTTGTTCCCTGGGGCCGCTGGAATTGTTCCCTGGGGCCGCTGGAATTGTCCTCCTTGGAGAACTCCTGGAATTTGCGGCGCCTCCTCGGCTCTCCTGAGGGAAATCCGGGACATTTCCCCTCCAAAAATCCCAAAAAATCCCGAGGAAATCTCCGGATCCCAACCAGGCCAAAGGACAAAGCTGGGCGGGGGTGACAACGGTGACACGGGCAGAGGAGGAGGGGACACAAATTCCCGGGAATGCTGCAGAGCTCCCAGGGTGGATGTGTCCCCTTTGTCCCCGAGCCCTGGGACAGCTCCGGTGACAGGAGCGGGGACAATTGTCACGGAGGGCGGGGGCAGGAGGGAGCCCGGATGGGGACAGGGACACACGTGGGGACAGGATAGAGGGGACAGGGACACACCTGGGGACAGGATAGAGGGACAGGGACAGACATGGGGACACGCAAGAGGGACAGGGACACACATGGGGACACGCTAGAGGGGACAGGGACACACATGGGGACACGCAAGAGGGACAGGGACACACCTGGGGACAGGATAGAGGGGACAGGGACACACATGAGGACACGCAAGAGGGACAGGGACACACCTGGGGACAGGATAGAGGGACAGGGACACACCTGGGGACAGGATAGAGGGACAGGGACACACGTGGGGACAGGATAGAGGGGACAGGGACACACGTGGGGACAGGATAGAGGGGACAGGGACACACATGAGGACACGGAAAAGGGACAGGGACACACATGGGGACAAGGAAGAGGGACAGGGACACACCTGGGGACAGGATAGAGGGACAGGGACAGACATGGGGACAAGGAAGAGGGACAGGGACAGACATGGGGACAAGGAAGAGGGACAGGGACACACATGGGGACAATGTGGAGGGGACTGGGACACACCTGGGGACAAGGAAGAGGGACAGGGACACACCTGGGGACAAGGAAGAGGGACAGGGACACACCTGGGGACAATGTGGAGGGGACTGGGACACACCTGGGGACAAGGAAGAGGGACAGGGACACACCTGGGGACAGGATAGAGGGACAGGGACACACATGGGGACACACAGGGGGGACAGGGACACACGTGGGGACACACAAGAGGGACAGGGACACACGTGGGGACACGGAATAGGGACAGGGACACACGTGGTGACAGGATAGAGGGGACAGGGACACATGTGGGGACAGGATAGGGGGACAGGGACACACGTGGGGACACGCAAGAGGGACAGGGACATGGAGGGGGACACACAAGAGGGACAGGGACACACGTGGGGACAGGATAGAGGGGACAGGGACACACATGGGGACACGGAAGAGGGACAGGGACACACGTGGGGACACACGAGAGGGACACGGACACACATGGGGACAGGATAGGGGGACAGGGACACACATGGGGACAATGTGGAGGGGACTGGGACACACACGGGGAAGGGGAGGGGGACAGGAACACAAATGGGGACATTGTAGGTGACAGGGACACACATGAGGACATGGAAGAGGGACAGGGACACACGTGGGGACACGCAAGAGGGACAGGGACACACATGGGGACACATGAGGGGACAGGGGACAGCTGGAGGGACACACCAGAGCAGGGAGGGCTTGGGGACATCGGAGATGGCGGGAAAAGGGAATGGGGACAGGAAAAAGGGGGGATGGGGACATCCAGGGGGGACAGGAAAAGGGGGGATGGGGACACGCAGGGGACAGGGGGAGGGGACATGGGGACAGGAGGGGGTGAGTCCCTCCTTCCGTGCCAAGGGTGACAGCGCCGGGAGGTGGCACCGCGCCCGGCGGCAGCTGCGACCTTGTCCCCTTTGTCCCTCTGTCCCCTTGTCCCTCTGTCCCCGTGTCCCTCTGTCGCCATGTCCCCATGTCCCCGCCCGGGTCCCTCAGGAAGGGACAATCCCGGTCCCGCCAAGGTGTTTCCTGTCCTCCCGATAGGGCTGGACAGCGTGTCCGGAGCTGGGAGTGACCCCAAAGGTGGGAGTGACCCCAAAGCCGGGAGTGACCCCAAAGCCGGGAGTGACCCCAAAACTGGGAGTGACCCCAAAGCCGGGAGTGACCCCAAAACTGGGAGTGACCCCAGAGCCGGGAGTGACCTCAAAGGTGGGAGTGACCCCAGAGCCGGGAGTGACCCCAAAACTGGGAGTGACCCCAAACTGGGAGTGACCCCAAAGCCGGGAGTGACCCCAGAGCGAGTGACCCCAAAGGCGGGAGAGACCCCAAAGCCGGGAGTGACCCCAAAACTGGGACTGACCCCAAAGCCGGGAGTGACCCCAAAACTGGGACTGACCCCAAAGCTGCGAGTGACCCCAAAGCTGGACACGCCACATCCCCCCTGTCCCCCTTGGTCCCCGGGCTATCCCTGTTGTCCCGTGTGTGTCCCCTCTGTCCCGTGGCTGTCCCGTTGCTGTCCCCCCTGTCCCCTGAGTGTCTCCACTGTCCCCACGGTGTCCCCACTGTCCCGTGGCTGTCCCCTCTGTCCCCGTGGCTGTCCCCCCTATCCCTGGGCTGTCCCGTGGCTGTCCCCTCTGTCCCCTGGGTGTCCCCTCTGTCCCGTGGCTGTCCCCTCTGTCCCGTGGCTGTCCCCGCTGTCCCGTTGCTGTCCCCGCTGTCCCCAGACTGTCCCCTCTGTCCCCTGAGTGTCCCCGCTGTCCCGTGGGTGTCCCGTTGCTGTCCCGTGGCTGTCCCCCCTGTCCCGTTGCTGTCCCCTCGGTGTCCCCCCTGTCCCCTCGGTGTCCCCTCGGTGTCCCCTCGGTGTCCCCTCTGTCCCGTTGCTGTCCCCTCTGTCCCGTGTCACCGCCAGGCAGGACACGGTGGGGGCGGGTGTCCCTTCCTGGCAGGAAAGGGCCGAGCGGAGCCTCCGGAACCGGGAATTTCCTGCGGGACCGGCCCCGGGGGCGGCAGCACCGGAGCGGCGGCGGCGACCGAGCAGCGGCACCGCGCCAGGTAACGGCACCGGGACCGGGACCGGGGGGTGGCAGCGCCCGGTGTCACCGGAGGGACCGGGACAGTACCGGCGCTTCGTCCCGGTGTCACCGGAGGGGTCGGGGCTGTACCGGTGCCTCTCCCCGGTGTCACCGGAGGGGTTGGGGAGGTACCGGTGCCTCTCCCCGGTGTCACCGGAGGTACCGGTGCCTCTCCCCGGTGTCACCGGAGGGACCGGAGCGGTGCCGGTGCCTCTCCCCGGTGTCACCGGAGGGGTTGGGGAGGTACCGGTGCCTCTCCCCGGTGTCACCGGAGGTACCGGTGCCTCTCCCCGGTGTCACCGGAGGGACCGGAGCGGTGCCGGTGCCTCTCCCCGGTGTCACCGGAGGGGTTGGGGAGGTACCGGTGCCTCTTCCCGGTGTCACCGGAGGTACCGGTGCCTCTCCCCGGTGTCACCGGAGGGACCGGAGCGGTGCCGGTGCCTCTCCCCGGTGTCCCGGTGTCACCGGGGCGGTACCGGTGCCTCGTCCCGGTGTCACCGGAGGGACCGGTGCCTCTCCCCGGTGTCACCGGAGGGGCTGGAACAGTGTCGGTGCCTTCCCCGGTGTCACCGGAGGGGTTGGGGAGGTACCGGTGCCTTCCCCGGTGTCACCGGAGGGACCGGGGTGGTACCGATGCCTCGTCCCGGTGTCACCGGAGGGACCGGGGTGGTACCGATGCCTCGTCCCGGTGTCACCGGAGGGGGGTTCGGTTGGGTTCGACCCCCGGTGTCACCGGTAGATCCGTGAAACACCGACAAACCACGATGCACGGGTGGGGTTTACCGGCAGCCCTACGGAACCACCGAAGTTTCTCCGGTGCTCCCGCCCCTTCCGTACGCACCGGGCTGGCCGTTGCCATGACAACCCCTAAAACCGAACCCCCGCTACCGGCGGCGGGGGCCGAACCGCGGAGGATCCACCGTGAGCGATGGAGCTTCGGGCCCCGCAGCCACCGGGAGGCACCGGGGGAGGCACCGGGGGATGCTGAGGGGGCCGCCGGTAACGAGCGTGGGTTGGTTTTTGGGGGAAAAAACCGAAAAAACGGGAGTGTGGAGGTGGGGGGGTGGTAGTCACGGGCTCGTACAGCGATTTTTGAGGTGGGTTTTACCGGGAACGGGATTTTACCGGGAACGGGAAGCGGCGGAGGGAGAGTTTGGGGTGAGGGGGGATTTGGTCGAGGTTTGAGGTTTTTTTGGGGTCACCCCGTTGCGGTTTTGGGGTGGAATCGAGTGGATTTCCCCTCCAAAAAACAACAAAAAACCACAAAAATTCAGATTTTTTGTGTGTGGGTGTTGGAGCTGCGTAGGGAATTCTGCTCCCGGTGATTTGGGGGTACCATGAAACCCCAAAGGGAATTTTTTTGGGGTTTTATGGCATTTATGGGGTTGTGCTCCTTGCTGGGCCTCAGCTGAGATTTTTACCCCCCTTTTGATGTGTTAAAAAAAGTGAATTTATCCCTCTCTGCTCCTCCCAACCCGGTTTGGAAAAAGCAATTCCAGAGCTGAGCAGGTGCAGGACCCCTCTGGATTTTTTTTCCTGGATAAACTTCCCAAAAAACTTCTGTCCTGCGGGTGATGGAGGCGGCAAATTCCCAAAATTCCTCCTCGGAGCTGCTCTTACATAACCCGGGGGGGTCTTTGTGTTTCCTGCAAAAAAAGGCAGCGAGGAGGGAAATTATCCCAGAAAATTCTAAATTTTCCTGGAATTCTTTGGGAGTTTAAAGCTCATCCCGATCCGTGGGTGTTTTTTACTCTCCCAGTTTGGATTTGGGCACTCCCAGGATGGGGCACCGCTGTGATTTTGGGGTTTTTTGGGGTTTTTTTGGTGTTGTTCAGCAGCTTGTAAGCCCTAAATATCCCATCTCATGGATAATTCCTGAATATTCTAATTATTGTGGTAATTCTCCCTCGTGCTCGGGGATGGGAAAAACACAAAACCCCCTAAAATCACCCCAAAATTAGCCCCAAAATCTCTCTGGAGCTCTGCTGGAGCTGAGGAACCTTTCAGCCTTTTACTAAGGAATGTTCTGCCGAGAATTCCAACCCCGAAAAATGAAAATTTCCCAGCGCTGCCTCCCCCGCGCGGCTCCGCGTGCGGGCGGAGAGGCACGTGTGGAGCGCCAGGGTGGGGAGGGGGCACGGCCGGGGGGGCTCCTGAGCTCCTCTTCCTCCTTCTTCATCCCTCTTCATCCCTGGGGGGCTCCCGGGCCTCCTCTTCCTCCCTCTTTATTCCAGGGGGGCTCCCGGCCTCCTCTTCCTCCTTCTTCATCCCCGGCCTCCTCTTCCTCCCTGCTCATCCTCAGGGGTCTGCCCGGCCTCCTCTTCCTCCCTTTTCATCCTTCTTCATCCCCAGGGACCCATCCCGGGCTCTTCTTCCTCCTTCTTCCTCCCTCTTCATCCCTCTTCATCCTCAGGGATGCTGCTCAGGCTCCTCTTCCTCTCTCTTCATCCTCAGGGACCCATCCCGGCCTCCTCTTCCTCCTTCTTCATCCCCGGGGGGGCTCCCAGCCTCTTCTTCCTCCCTCCTCATCCCCAGGGATGCAGCCCGGGCTCCTCTTCATCCCTCCTCATCCTCAGGGACCCATCCCGGCCTCCTCTTCCTCCTTCTTCCTCCCTCTTTATCCCCAGGGATGCTGCTCAGGCTCCTCTTCCTCCTTCTTCATCCCCAGGGGCTGCCCGGCCTCCTCTTCCTCCCTCTTCATCCCCGGCCTCCTCTTCCTCCCTCCTCATCCCCGGCCTCCTCTTCCTCCCTCTTCATCCTCAGGGGCTGCCCGGCTTCCTCTTCCTCCCTCTTCATCCCCGGCCTCCTCTTCCTCCCTCCTCATCCCCGGCCTCCTCTTCCTCCCTCTTCATCCTCAGGGGCTGCCCGGCCTCCTCTTCCTCCTTCTTCCTCCCTCTTCATCCCCAGGGGGCTGCCCGGCCTCCTCTTCCTCCCTCCTCATCCCCGGGATGCAGCCTGGCCTCTTCTTCCTCCCTCCTCATCCCCGGCCTCCTCTTCCTCCCTCTTCATCCTCAGGGGGCTGCCCGGCCTCCTCTTCCTCCCTCTTTATTCCAGGGATCCAGCTCTGCCTCCTCTTCCTCCTTCTTCATCCCCAGGGGCTGCCTGGCCTCCTCTTCCTCCCTCTTCATTCCTCTTCATCCCCAGGGGGCCTACCGGCCTCCTCTTCCTCCTTCTTCATCCTCAGGGACCCATCCCCGGCCTCCTCTTCCTCCTTCTTCATCCCTCCTCATCCTCAGGGACCCATCCCGGGCTCCTCTTCCTTCCTCTTCATCCTCAGGGGCTGCCGGCCTCCTCTTCCTCCCTCCTCATCCTCAGGGATGCTGCCTGGCCTCTTCTTCCTCCCTCCTCATCCTCAGGGACCCATCCCGGCCTCCTCTTCCTCCCTCCTCATCCTCAGGGACCCATCCCGGCCTCCTCTTCCTTCCTCCTCATCCCCAGAGGGGCTCCCGGCCTCTTCTTCCTCCTTCTTCATCCCCGGCCTCCTCTTCCTCCCTCTTTATTCCAGGGAGCCATCCCCGGCCTCCTCTTCCTCCCTCCTCATCCCTGGGGGGCTGCCCGGGCTCCTCTTCCTCCCTCTTCATCCCCAGAGATGCAGCCCGGCCTCCTCTTCCTCCCTTTTTATTCCAGGGGTGCAGCTCAGCCTCCTCTTCCTCCTTCTTCCTCCCTCTTCATCCTCAGGGGCTGCCCGGCCTCCTCTTCCTCCTTCTTCATCCTCAGGGACCCATCCCGGCCTCCTCTTCCTCCCTCCTCATCCCTGGCCTCCTCTTCCTCCCTTTTTATTCCAGGGACCCATCCCGGGCTCCTTTTCCCATCTCTCAGTGTTCCAGGAACCATCCCAGACTCATTTTCCTGTCCCTCAGTGTTCCCAGTGAACATCCCAGGCTCTCCCAGTGTTCCCAGTGAACATTCCAGGCTCTCCCAGTGTTCCCAGGAGCAGCTGGTGCTTCCCCTTCTCCTCCCTCGCTGTTCCTGGGAGGCATCCAGGGTTTATTCCATGTTCCAGGGAATCATCCAGGGTTTATTCCATGTTCCAGGGAAGCATCCAGGGTTTATTCCATGTTCCAGGGAATCATCCTGGGCTCCCTGTTCCATCTCTCGGTGTTCCAGGGGGAAAACCTGGGCTCCTTTTCCCATCTTTTGGTGTTCCAGGGAAAACCTGGGCTCCTTTTCCCATCTTTTGGTGTTCCAGGGGGAAAATTTGGGCTCCTTTTCCCATCCCTCAGTATTCCAAGGAAAACCTGGGCTCCTTTTCCCATCTTTCAGTGTTCCAGGGAAATTCTGGGCTCCTTTTCCCATCTTTTGGTATTCCAGGGAAATTCTGGGCTCCTTTTCCCATCTTTTGGTGTTCCAAGGGGGAAAACCTGGGCTCCTTTTCCCATTTTTCAGTGTTCCAGGGAAATTCTGGGCTCCTTTTCCCATTTTTCAGTGTTCCAGGAGGAAATTCTGGGCTCCTTTTCCCATCTTTCAGTGTTCCAAGGAAATTCTGGGCTCCTTTTCCCATCTCTTGGTATTCCAGGGAAATTCTGGGCTCCTTTTCCCATTTTTCAGTGTTCCAGGGAAAACCTGGGCTCCTTTTCCCATTTTTCAGTGTTCCAGGGAAAACCTGGGCTCCTTTTCCGATCTTTTGGGACACAGGGTCCCGTCCTCTTCCCGCTCCGTGCCCGGTGGGATGTGCTGCTCCGGGTTTTCCCAGCTGGAGCTGTGGGGTGGAATTCCCAAATTCCCTGAATCCCCAAAACCCCAAATTCCCTGAGTTCCCTGAATCCCCAAATTCCCCGAAATCCCCGACTCCCCCAATCCCTGAATTCCCTAATTCCCTGAATCCCTGAATTCCTGATTCCCTGAATCCTCAAATCCCTGAATCCCCAAGTTCCTGAATTCCCTGACTCCCTGAATCCCCAAATTCCTGACTCCCCAACTCCCCAAATCCCTAATTCCCTGACTCTCAGAATCCCCTGAATTCCCCGATCCCCCGACTCCCCAAATTCCTGACTCCCCAAATTCCCGAATTCCCAACTCCCCAACTCCCCAAATTCCCGAATTCCCGAATTCCCAACTCCCCGAATTCCCAAATTCCCGACTCCCCAAATTCCCGACTCCCCAAATTCCCAAATTCCCGACTCCCCAACTCCCCAACTCCCCAAATTCCCGACTCCCCAAATTCCCAACTCCCCAACTCCCCAAATTCCCAAATTCCCGACTCCCCAACTCCCCAACTCCCCAAATTCCCAAATTTCTGACTCCCCAACTCCCCAACTCGCTGAATTCCCGACTCCCTGAATCCCCAACTCTGTGACTCCCTGACTCCCCGAATTCCCGAATCCCCGACTCCCCAAATTCCCGACTCCCCAAATTCCCGAATTCCCGACTCCCTGACTTCCCGAATTCCCTACTCCCCAACTCCCCAAATTCCCAAATTCCCGACTCCCTGACTTCCCAACTCCCCGAATTCCTGAATTCCTGACTCCCCAAATTCCCAAATTCTTGACTCCCCAACTCCCCGAATTCCTGAATTCCCAAATCCCCAACTTCCCGACTCCCCAAATTCCCGAATTCCCAACTCCCCAAATTCCCGACTCCCCGACTCCCCAACTCCCCGAATTCCCAAATTCCCCAATTCCCAACTCCCCAAATTCCCAACTCCCCGACTCCCCAACTCCCTGAATTCCCGACTCCCCAACTCCCCAAATTCCCAAATTCCCGACTCCCCAAATTCCCGACTCCCCGAATTCCCGAATTCCCGATTCCCCAACTCCCCAAATTCCCGACTCCCCAAATTCCCAAATTCCCAAATTCCCGACTCCTCGACTCCCCAAATTCCCAAATTCCCGACTCCCCGACTCCCCAACTCCCCGAATTCCCAAATTCCCGAATTCCCGAATTCCCGAATTCCCGATCCCTGCCTTCCTGCCTCCCGCGTTCCCGAGCGGAGCTAAAAGCAGCACAAAGGAGAAATTGCCGCCATCCCACTCGCGCAGCGGCTCTGTCACCGCTGTCAC